TTACTACAGTCGTAGGTACTTTTATATGGATATTCATTTACTATTGTCAGACTGTTTTCCTCAGCAAAATCAAGCAGCGAGTCAATTTTTCTGTTTTTAGTATCCAGTCGGCAATTAAAGTCTCCAGCCAAAATGAAATTTTCAAAATTTTCAACATATTTAAGGATTGAGAGAAGTTCATTAGTCACTGTTGTAGAACGTATCTTCGGATTTAAATAGCATGTTACTACTGTAATGTCATCAAAATTTAGAATTATGAAGTTTTCCAAATATTTCACATTTAGTAAATTTCCTAACCTAGAATTAAAATACACGGAAATTCCCCTCATCGGTCGCCCTGCCTCCTTTTGTGAAGCTAAAACTTGCCTTGAATAAAAACCAGGAATGTGAAGTGGTTTCTTTAAAAATGTTTCCGTGAAAAGAAGAATATCATAATTTTGCAGTTCTGTTGCAATCGGAGATTCATATGCTTTCGTAAGCCCTTCACAATTCCAAAGCCCTAATTTTAAGTTACTCACGTCGCTGTTTCGACAAGGGAAATCTATAAAGAAAGTTTCTCACGAGCACCACAGTTGCGCTTGCTTCTCTCCCTGGGTGCAACAGTCTGCGAATTAGGGGCATCATTTAGCTGCTCTCCGTCATCCGGCTTCCCTCCAGTCTCTTCTTCTTCCTCTCTGGCCTCCTTTGGGTTGAACAAATTCCCACAGTTTCCCCAGCGTTTGGAGACATACTTGTTGTACAGATGAACAGTGACAGGGACATCTCGAAGTTCTTCGTACAGAGTGTCCAAGACCCAGAGGCGATGCAGCCTGTCCATGCCACTGCACATGTAGGTCATTGCAATCTCGTCAATCTCTTCCTCTCGAATGACTTGGGCCAGCTTAGCAAATGCAGTCTTCACTCCCTTTAGGAAAGGCTCAGGTGCTTTGTGCAACTTGTGGGGGGACCTCATTTTAGTTACCACGTGAAACACAGTACCGTACTTTTCAGTCTTCTCTCTGATGATTCCGCCTATTTCAGTCTTTCCCGGCTCCGCTTTTGGTTTGCCCACCGCCGCCGTAACCTCTTGTGCAGCCCCCGTGCTGGTCCAGAGATCAGAGGCTATGGCGTGTGCCTTTATCTCTTGCTTGGCATCCAGTAGACTGACCCCTTGATGTTCAACAAACTTGACCTTGGCTCCCTCCACTGCGAGCGACTCATCATTCTTCAGGGCCTCATCGAGTTGGGCAGAGCGATCGATGTATTGGTTCACGCAGGGTGTGTCATCAGCCTTTGTCAGAGGAGCAATTGGTGGATAATAACCTCTCTGATACCTGCCGTGAAATTGCCTCCGTCTGTTATCTGTACCGCTCGACTCATTTTCTGCATTCTTCTCGTAGAAAAGGACCTTCCGCTCAAGCTCCCTCAGCTTAGCCTCGTGCTTCTCATCTCTCTCCTTCCAGGACAAACGTTCCTTTTCGAATTCCTCCTGCATCAAAGATACTGTTTTACTGAACATTTCGCCAAGTTGGTCATTCTGAATTTTGAGCTGATTTGAGAATTGCAGCGTGACATGCTGGAAAACACGCTGAATGATTTCCTCCAACGTTACTACAGCTCCCGGAGGAGCCGAACCTCCTGCATAAGTCTGTCCAAAACCTCCTGAGTTGAGAACTGGTCCATTGTTTCCATTTTGCAGAGGGTTTGGCGCCATCTCCTGTCCGGGGGTGGGTGGAGTTCCTTCGGGCCATGCTGGATGATGGAATTTTGCTCTATTTTCTGTATGTCCGTAAGAAGGGCCACAATTTATGGGTGGCTGGGCAGCGTACCCTTGTGGTGACCTCCACGGCACATGTGCAGATGCCATGGCCTTCAACTCAGGGAAAAAAGGCGAAATTAGACACACGACCCTCCTAAACCAGTGTTTTCCTTACCGAAGCAGTGCTGCCAACCCAAATGTATTATTGACACAGAATTTGTGTTCATATGCGAGATAATATTTGACTTACTTGATGGCTTTAGCAGCGCAGGAAGACTTAGCCTTTTGGACGTCGTGCTGCCTGAACAGGAACTGTCTGTTCAGGTTAGACTTCTCAATGAGGTCCATATCTGTGACAAAGATAATGCCATCTTTGCCAGCACCCACTCCAGACATGGCGAAGTTCTTCAACAGCTCACAACCGATGGCGCCAGCACCGACGATAAAGTAGCGAAGCTTGCCCAACTTCTCCTGGAATTTGTGACCAAGAACGCACACTTGTGAGGCATAACGGACATCAGGGATTTCAAAGTTCTCCACTGGCTTCAAGTCCTCTGGCAAACACTCGATGGCATCAAAGTAGAGGAATTGCTTGATTGGGAAAAATTTGCCACTGCAACCTTTCATCACCTCTTGGGCAACAATTCCACCGATCTGAAAATTGATTTTAAGTAAATTAAGTAATATATATAATGAAAGGGATACAATATGAAAATATGTATCTCTTTCTTAAACTCAGGTGAAAATTTTCTCAGGACAAAACGGGACAAAACTTCTAAATCATGAGCTTTATTTCCAACTTACCACAGCACACATCGGGGCCAACTGACCAGCTGCAGTGTAGCTGAAGGTCTTGATGAGTTTGCCATCACCTTCGTTTAAGTTGCCCTCAACAAGGCTGAGCAGAGAGGAGGCGTCAGCCTCATTCCATGGCTTTGGAAGGCGATTGTTGTTCTTCACAAACTTGTGCAGAGCCGTAAAGGCGGCATGCAGAACAGGAGGGCTATCAAATTTGCCAAAGTCGGTCATAACGAACTCTGGCTTGCCCAGAGCTTTGCTGAAAGGCAGAAAATCCACTTTGTCGGGCATCTTGACCTGTGTGGCCACCCCACCACCAGTGTAATGGGACAGGCCAGTTGTATCCCCAATGGAGAATGTGTACGGACCCAAGACCTTGATTCGGTGAGCCTGAGCCTCAGGGCTCTGCATTGGGTCGGCATTCAACTCAGTCATGCCCTTGATTTCGTTGAATATCACGTGGTCTCCATCCTCAAAGCCGTGCTTTTCCACGGTCGTCACCACAGCCTCTGTGTCGTTGGTGATGCTGGCAATCATGGTGCTGATGGGGTTCTCACCATTTATGTCCCTGACAACAAACTGAGTGCCGAAGTCGCAGAAGACTTGAGCAAATACACCCACGGTGTCAGCCACGATGAACGGGATGTTCAAGGGGTGTGTGATCTCAGAAATGCGCAGCTGCTCATCCCTGGTTGTCTCGGTCAAAACAACAACCTGAAAATTTAAGTAAATGAGTATGAAAGGTATCTTCTTTGGAAACTTTGTTAAAAGTTTTGAAAAATAATTTTTAGTTTGAGGGTTGTTTCAAGGTTAAGAAAGTGGGTCAGAGGTTGATTTAAACCAAAGTATTTAAGACTTACAGCACATTCCTTGATGCAATCAGGGGTCAGTTCACCAATGTAGAACTCGACATCGACGTAGGTGTTCAACTCAGCCAGGCGCTGGCATGAGGCCTCTGCGCGGTTGCGTCCAATGTCGGCGTACCTCACGAAGTACTGGGTGGCAAGGTCGGCCTTCGACACCAGCTTGGTGTCATGTAGCACGACCTTCTTCACGCCGGCCAAGATCACATTCTTGGCAATTTCGACTCCGAGGCCTCCGAGCCCCGAGATAAGCACCACAGACCTGGCCATCCGCACCATGGCTTCGTGGCCCAGGACATATAGCTGGCGCGAGTAGAGGTTCTCGTCCATGTTATACTGGAGCTTCTGAGACTCCGGGTCGGTGCCCTGCTGCTGCTGCTGGTAGTGCTGGTTGGCGTCGGATGGCATTGGGCCGGTGCTGTGGCCGGGGACCGACGATGGCTTGTCGGCGTCTGCTGACGAGGCCGCCTCAGCACACGTCTTGAGCCTCTTGGTCGGCGGGTCAACGGCTTCCTCCGCAGATCCGCTGCACGAAGAATTCTGCATTTTGTCAAAGAATTCGTCGCCGAAAAACCGTTAAAGAAAGTCAAAGAGACTTGAATTCTTGCTTAACACTCGCGGTCACAAACCAACAATTGGGAATTTTCGCACCAAGAATCGAGAATCTTCTTTCGCTTGCACTGGCACTGGTCGACCGCTTGTTGCTGGCGTAGAGCGAGTTTGAACTTGCGTGAACGTCGAACATGAACAGTCACAGTCAGTTCCCCCACCCCCCACCCTATGTCACTGAAACTGTTGCATTCACACAAGATTTCGCCTTTTGCGGATGGAACTCGCTATTAGTTCGCTCTTTGAATAATTTTTTCTCCCGCAAAGAATTCCACAATCATGCAGCAGAGGCCGGCGGTCTTGCTGGCAACTTCAAGCGGCTGTAAACCAGCAATATTTTTTTTTTTCAATTTTAATTTGTACATTTTTTTTATCTGGATATAGTTATGTGAACAAAATTAAATAAGCCTTGACGGATTTGACCTACATAAACATGTTTGGAATTTCCCTAAATTTTAAATCTATCTGCACTCTTGTGGAAGTGTCACTTTACAATTTTCAGTTGTACAAAGACTATTTATTTTTTAAACTTTAAAATTTGAAAAATGGTAAACCAATGCTAAATTTTAGCGCATCGTTTGAAATGATTTCATTACTCATTTTTCATAAAATTACATATCCCTCTCATCGCCTCTCATATAAATTAAGTTTGGCATAAACTTGGTAGGAAACTTGGCACATAAGTGGAATAAAACTAGATAGAAGTTTTTGCGAATGCCAAATGAATTGATATCAGGTGTTTCAATTAATTTTGAGACAATTCACTAATTCAGTTATTGAATTCTGCAAGATAACGGACAGTTTTGTTCCTTATGAAAAAACTGATAAAACTATTGCATAAAAAGAACAAAAATATTTTGCTATTAAAAGCTTATTTTTCAAATTCTAAGCTAATATATAATCTCCTCTTTTTAATTGAATAACGTGTAGTTTAATTTAAAGTAACATTAGTGATTTGGTGCAAATTTGATCAATTTATTTCAATCAAATTATTACAAACTTTTTTTTAGAAATTTAAATATATTATTTAAAATAATCCACTTTCTTCCCATAGTACCAGTTTGATTTCTCGACAGAGGGGTCTTACAATTCAATGCTGATTAACTGCGAAAATCAATTTTCCTCAAGTAACAAAACTTTTTTCTTGAAATATTATTTAGATTATTTTCTTATACTAGTTCGCAAATAAATATGTTCAAAAGAGCGCAACTGCTACAGCTTAAAGTGCTTTAATTGTATGGCGAGTCAGACGTCAAAAGCCATGAAGCCCATGAAACGCAATTTTCTGTGAAAATCAAATTCGGTTCTCCGGCGGCCCAAAATTAAGCCAGTGGACATCAGTTGACCTGAAAGAGGGGCACTTCCAGCTTTACGCCATTGTTTGTACCAGACACGTCCAAAAATTCACAATGAATTGTATTTTAGGTGTTTTCTACACTATAATAAGTTTGGCCAAAACTACAAGTACTTGCACTATATGCAATATTAGATGCCAGACATTCAAAAAGTACGTTAGAATTGGCTCAAAATGAAAATCTTTAAAATCTATTTTTAATTATTATAAAATAATGATATTTACCGGATAATATTGCTTTTAAAAATTTAATTAACAGCACATAGATATAGTGCATATTATAATTTACCATCATACATTCTTTTCAATTTGCCGAATTGAACAATTATAAATTAGTTTAATTGACTGCATATATTTGGGATTGGAGAAATTTCATGAGCTAAAAAACGTTTATAAAAAAATCTATGATCGGCGCCGAGTGCTGATTAATGATGAAAATCAAATTTCCTGAAACAACAAATGTCAATATACCAAATAAAATTAAACGGTTAATTTCAAGTACTTCGCATATATATCTGTTCGAAAGATCGCAATTTTGAGAGCTCATGGTATGCAAATTGTATGCGGTACCAGTCGTCAGAAGCCACGAGACGCAATTCTCCGTGAAAAATAAATTCGGTTCACCGGCAGCCCAAAAGAGATCTTTGGTCATCAGTTGACCTGAGGGGCACCAACCCCACGTGCGCTCCCTGCCGATGCCATCGTTTGTACCAGACGTCCAAAAATTCGCAATGTATTTCGTGTCAGCTTTTTATTTTATAGATGAAAAAAAAAATGTAATATTTGAGGAGAAATTATAATTCGCACCATTGTTCAGGTCCACGAGACAATTTTGCTCAGCCAACGTTTCAATGCTGAGAAGCTGCATGCCATATTTACAACACTCAGTAACAGCGTTTTTGTACGACAACTATATGAAAAGTTGCAAATTGGAATTTTTTTTACATAATTTTAAATTATACGACTCCAGTGCTGAAAAAGTATTTTCTTCCGCAAGCCGTTTTAAAAACGCCACTAGCGGCTAAAAATTTACAAGTGATCTTGATTTTCAAGAATTATTATCTTATATTTAATTATCTTACACGATGTCATTGCCTGGAACTGGCTAACTTTCGCGGCCTAAAAAAATGTAATCACAAAGCCAAGTTTCAAAGCCTCATTTTTTAATATCCTGCGTGTACTGTACCTCCGTGGCGCATGGATAGTCTGTGCACACCACTGACGTTGGATTTGGTATTGCTGGCATCTATTTTTAACTTCTTTATTAAAAAATAAAAAAACATTTTACATTTAAATACTTCGCAAATGAAGCTCCACACTGTATCGCACGTCCAATCATTCAGGTAGGCGTTCGCAATTGGACCGGGCGCGTAGTTCACGTTGACGCACTTTTGAGTGTTCCCAGCGTTATTTGGCTGCCCTCCCGCAGCTGTCCACCTTTCATTTTTTTTTTTTTTTTTTTTTTTTTTTTTTTTTTTTTTTTTTTTAGATTTTTATATCACTAAAATAAAAGTACCATCTAGAGTCGTTTCTGTAAAGTATAGCTCCATCGTCACACCACTCGAAATTGTACAAACAGTCCCTGTCATTTGCAGAAGTCCACATGTCAAGCGAAACTCGAAGGTCGGCTGGAAATTTTTTAATTTCTAATTTGACTCAACAAAAAGTGGAAATAAATATTACTGTTGTTGTTGTTGAATTCAAAAAGACATTTGTATTCATCGTAGGTCTCCATTTTAACAAGACTCATGCCAATTTTGCAGCAAAAATCGTAAGAATCGTCCCAACTTAACTGCAAAGCATAAATTTATTTTCAATTTTAGTTTTTTGTAAGTGGGATTTAAAATAACTTTTCTATCGATGGAAAACAAATACGTGCTTCCACCGCAGCCGGTAATCCACTTTCCATAAGAAGCGGTTGCTATAAGAATTGTATATATCCATAATTTTTAATGGAAAACAAAATTCAAATTTTACCAGTGAGCTCATTTTTGGTATTAAAACGAGTTTTCTGTTTTTAAAGAAAATAAATAATACGTTATCAAATAAAGAATCAATAAAATTTATACTTCAAGTTTTGATGTGCAGTTCCTGGGACAAGTGGCATTGCATGGAGGCATATCACCCTTGGAAATAAAGTTCCTTATATTTTATTATTTTTTAATGGAGATTTAAGTCATACCTCGCAAATGAAAGGCAGAGACAAACTGCAGGCTGCTCCGTTAAGTTTGTAATTTGTTGCTGTAACATCTCCAACAGCAATGTTGAGCGTTACGCACTTGTCATTATAAGGGTTGTCCGGCTGATTTGTCGCCCAAATGGTGTTATTGGTGTCATTGGACAGAAATTTGTTTGTGGTGCACCACCCGTAGTTATTAACAGGGCCCTTGTTTGAAGCAGAAGTCCAATACCTGCCCGCTTTCTTTGCTTCGACTGGAGAAAATTAAAAATACAGATTTATTAATATTGAATTCCGCATTTTTTTTTTTGCAATTTTGATTTAGATTATCTATTAATAATTATAAACAGTTATAATTTTTAAATTTACTGGAACTCTATAGAGATTTCCAACCCACAATTGTTCATATCCTTTATACATGCGAGCTCGTCATAGGAATCGACGCTCAAAAGCTGAAGGCCATATTTGCAACACTCGGCCATGGCGTCATCACGTATTTTCTGCATGAAGTAAACATTTTCGAATGTTCATAAATTTATCATGAAAAATAATTTTAACCGTGGCCACACTAACGAAATACTGCCTGCCGCATCCACTGTAGAAATCTCCAATTGCTGCCGACGATGCTAAATTTTTTTAACAATGATTTTTAGTTAAATATCTTTCAGTAAAAAAAGTCTGTAAATTAAAAATTCAATTATAAATATAAAATTTATTCCTTTCTCAAAGCCATTAAATTAATTTTTTCAAAGTCTTGCACTTACATAACCATTTCTTGGACTCTGCTACTTTTGCAGGCTTGAGGTAATTAATTTATTATTATTTTTTTTTTTACTTTCTTTGGGGAAATAATTTCCTTTCCCTTTGCTACTAACCTCTGAAATACAATTGATCGCAGGACATTCAGGAAAAGGAACCTCTCCATTTAACGGTCTCTGTCAGTTTTAATATTAATTAATTTTTTGGCATTCAATATTAATTTTTTTTAAAGCACTTCACAAACATATCGCAGTGAACCTGTGCAAGGGTAATCATTGTAGACAAAATTATTTGGAGGAGGAGCGGAGGAGACGAGATAATTGATGCAGTTTTCATTATTCCCAGCATTGTCGGGCTGGCTAGGTGCAAACTTCAGTTCCGTGGAAAAGCTAATATTTGCCACTGTGTTGTCCGAATAACACCAGTTGTAAAGTCCTTCATGATACATGTCCGAGCCGCTGTTCCACAACCAGGTGCCGATATAATAATTTCCAAATGGACCTGGGCCCATGCGAATTAAAAGGATTAATTTTAATAAACTGTCGGTGAATTTACTGTATATAAAATCAGCCAGGCATTTCTGTTCTTGGTCAGTTTCCACGGCGATAAGTCTCATTTTCCTTTTGCAACACTCAGCAGCACTATCTTGCCATGTTTTCTTGAAAATTAAATTTATAATAACATTACGGAATTGATCGCAAGGAATAAAAATAAATAATTACGGCTGTTTTACTGACAAAATAAAGCCTATTACAAATAACCATGAAGTCACCATCTACACTTGATCCAGTCACTACAAATAACAAATGAGCGGTTTGAGCAGAATATTTAATCTCCTTCTTACTATTAACTTGGCCGTCAGAACCTAGAAGGCTGGGCTAAAAATTGTCATGTTTAATTATAAAGTTATTTTAAAGAATTTTCATTAGTTACATTTGATTGGCAAGTGTAAGGCAAGCATGTGTCTTTTAATGGGGTGACCGGCAGCTATTTTTTTTTTTAATTTTTTTTTATATTTAAATAAGTTTTCCAAAAATTGAAAATTACTTCACATATGAATTTCGTTGCTACGGTGCACGATTTATCACCAAGAGTGGAATTTTTCCCCGAAGCAGTAATTACAACCACACAATTTTCGCTTCCCGATTTGTCGCTCGGCTCACCAACGGCCCATTTTGGAGAAGCAATTGTTGTATTGTTGGATGTGCACCAAACATAAGAGTTCTCAACTTTATTATCGCTTCCGGAAGTAAAAAACTCGCCGATCAGTCCATTTGCTACGCAGAACGGAAGCGAGCAGGAATATAATGTTTCCAATATAATAAATTTTTGCCTACTGTCCGCTATATCCGCAATTGCTAAATATTCAGCGTCGGTTTCCAAGCTCAAAAGACTCATGCCGAGAGCACAACATGCACTTCCTGCATCTGACCACGTTTTCTATATGATTTAGTAAAATATTAAAATTTATACTTTTTTAAATTATTTATTTACTAAGCTTGAGCTGAACATGTACTGCCTATTTCCAGACTCTTTCAAAACTCCGTCAGTGACCGCTGAAGCTTCAAAAGTTACGCAAATTTAAGATCATCATATTGAAGTAGAAAATTAAACATTTTTAAGCAGTTTTCAAACATATCACAAAGTGTTGCTACCGCCTGCAAGGAAGGAGAGACGCAACCCGCAGACCCGAGAAGTTAAACAGGTTGCATAAAAATAATATATTTTTTATTAAATTTACTTTTCCCCACTCTCCCCTCATTAAAGTTTATAGTCATACCAGGTACTCTTCCATTGGGTCCCAAATTAGAAGCCTGAGTTTGCATTTGTAATAAAAGTTAAAAAACGCTGATATTAAAAATTATTCATTACCCCAGATGAGCAGGTGAATGGAAGGCAAAGTGGTTTCTCAGTAGTTGTTACAGTGGTGGTAACGGTTGTGGTAGTTGTTCCTGCAATAGTAGTTGCTCCTGCAATAGTAGTTGCTGCTGCAATAGTAGTAGTTCCTGCAGCCGTTGTTGCACCAGCAATTGTTGTTACAGGGTCAGAATTGGGTGCAACTGAAGGGGTATTTTGCTGGTTTATCGGCCCTGCAGTGGAAGGATCTGTGGCGCCGGAACTTGGCCCTGGAGTTGAACCCGGGTCTGAAAGGGAAGTAGTTACTGGATCGACAACAGCAGCAATTGTCGTCGCCTCCACGGGAGCAGGCGTTGGTAATTCAGATGTTGGTTGGTCAGTGGGCTGTGTGGGCACTTCAGCCAGGGTTGTAATGTCTAATCCTGCCGTCGTGGAAGCCGCCTGTTTGGAGGGTTTTTTTATAATTATTCTTACCGAGTTTATTATAAATACGATTGAGAAGGTGATTTTTGTTGTTTTATTAAAAGTAGTTGTTTTTGTTGTTACACCATTACACTTGGAATTTCCACAACACTTCTCAATCCTGACCCTTCCGATGTATTTTTCTGTCATGTATATGCACATTTATTGAAAATATAAAAGAATATTAAAAAATCGTGGCATACTCCTTTGAGCTTCAAATTTTATATGTATCTTTCTTTGCCCCTGTAGGATGCCCGGTCGTACTAACACGGCATTTGAGGCTTCAATTATATTCCAATGATCCTAAAAATTAATCAAATCATTTGTAAAATGTATTTCATATGTTTCAGCGAAACCATAAACGTTGCTAATAACGTGACGATCACTACCGCATCAGTCCACATTTTGAACTGGTAAATGTGTGGCAACCGCGTTTTGCTGATGTCCGATGAAATACTGCATCCTCTGCGTCAAATACAAAACACTGTATTCTGATAGACTTGATAGAGTCGTATGTCAGCCACGCGACAATATTTTTTCTCATAGCACCTGTTTCAGCCATTAACTTTTATATTAAAATGCCCCAAACAGTAAAACAGTAAACAGTAATAATAATTAAAATTTGGTAAATAATAGATCAGCAGAGGTAACAGGTAAATAAATAAATTCGCCTAACTTAAAATTTACTGCTGTGTTGTGTGTGAAAATCCAAATTCATTAACATGATGGCCCATCAGTTGTCAGCCAAAATTAATAATGTCCTGCGGCTTTTCCGAGTTTTGTTCTCATAAAATATTGCACAATTTGCTCGTTCTTTCTATACTTTATATTATTTTGCCACTAGATAATATACGCTTGGCTTAGGAACAACAATCATTTTGATATTAAGAAGTAGAAATTACTCTGTAATTAATCCAGTTTACTGTGTATTGCTCTATAAATTCCGATAAATTCAATAATATAGAGTCTATTATCTATAAATAATGAGTCTGATGAGCATGAGAAGTCTTGTTTGCCATTAGTAGTTATTCAAATTATTGAATTCTTTTTAACAAATTTTTGTTGTTGCATTAATTTATTCATATTTTCTCCATGTTATTGCCAAATTTAAAAAAAAAATATGTATAAAATATTTAAGAAAAATTATTAAAAAAAGAGGCAGAGATTTCAACAAGAATTGTGTCAAAAAGTAAATATATTTTGCAGGAAGCTCTTTTTTTCTACTAGACTAATTTTAACCGCTGGAGTACAATACTGAGATTTGCATGCGATCCTTGAGCACTGAGTAAAATGAGTGCTCTCCTTTTGGCTAGCAAAGGAAGCCCAAAGTTAAATGATAGTCAAAGCTCATGTGGCAAATTATGAAGAACTTGCAGGCACCATGTCTGGTACTTGTAGTCTTTCATGTCCACGTCCACCCTCCTTGTATGTGAAAAGCTATTTCGATGTATAAAAAAAGCAGTGGATAATTTTAAACAATGTTTTTAATAAAAAGAATCTACACCGGAGAGTAGTGCGGATTATACATATTATTTCACGTAATATCTGTATGTTGCACATTTCCCATATCACAAAGAGTCTATTTACACCAGTCAACACAAGACTAGTTACTGCACACTGATATGTTAACACAATTTCAAACGTTTGTCTATAAGAAAGCCACTTTAAACAATAGATAGATAATTAAAAACACTCTAGCGACGATAGTAGTGTAAAAGGTAAAAAAGTAATTCATTAAAGTTTCTCGATGCGTCATCTTTTCAGTTTCTGCCCTGCAGATGCGAGAAGCCTCTTTAGCTCCTTGTCCACCGTGACCAGCGTAATATTATTTTTCAGTTTGTGTGGATCAGGATTCCAGTTGGCGCCCAAAATGTGGGAGCAGCGGGCCTCCTCAAAAAATTGCGATTTGCTCATCTCCTTAGTCACCATCTCACTCTTGAGGGTCTTCTTCAACCAGTCTTGGGAGTGGCCTGTGTAGGAGCAGACTTCAGAAAGGATCATGAAAGTGTCGGTTTCGCCTTTCACCCAGAAGGTGGCCGGAAGTGAGAATGGAGAGTTTCCAATACTCTGAAAGTAGCTAAAATATTAGTTTCAGAATGGAAAAAAGTGGAATGAAATTACCATGGTGATTTCTTCAATTTCAGGTTCCTCCTCCTCTAAGGGTACAGGTTCGGGAATTGGCGCGTCATCAAATATGTCGAATCCATTTTCAACAGGTTCTAAAAATAATTTTTTTTACCATAGAAAACCGATGCTTCATTAAAAACAATTAATTTACCTAAACTGTTGTAGAATTCAAAAGTCCACGGGACAGTCGATCTGCCCTGAATGTCATCCAAATGTTCCCTAAGCAACTTCTGTGCATCTAAACTTCCCAGGTCCATCGAAGTTTGGCCAGCGTAGTTGAAGAGCAGCGGGTCAGCTCCATAACTGAGCAGCAAGCGCACAACTTCCAGGTGGCCACACTCCGCAGCCTCGTGTAATGGTCTAAATATTTTTTGATTAATTATCAACTGCAGAACATGGTTTGTCTTGTTACCTTATTCCACCTTGAGCACTGCTGTCCACTAGGGCGCCATACATCAGGAGCAGACGAGCCATAGTTAAATGGCCCCTGGCACAGGCCACGTGGAGAGGCGTGTAACCAGCATTGTCTTTAGCCGAGGGATCCATTCCGAGAGCCTCCAAACAATAAGCAGCCACGTCCTGTAAAATTAATAATATTCATTTACCAATTTCAAAGAAGTAATCAATTTCATATAAAATTTTGGTCATTTGAAGATTTTCTTTTTAATTATAAAGCTCTGATGAGCTATTTTGGTAAACAGAGCACTACACTTACATTTCGAGAAGCTCTAGCAGCTCTGTGCAAAACGGTCTCTCCAAGGCCTTTGTTAACCACCCAACTGCGCACTTCATTTGCAATCTCTTCAAGGGATTTGTTCTGGTTTGCTGACGATGCAGGCTGAAACATGATGTGGACATTTGAGTTAATTATTCATAAAAAAATCATTTCATGAACACTTACCTTTTTTGCTGTTGTGCTGCTGGTTTCGCTGCCTTCCTTCTTTTTCTTCTTCTTTCTCAGATAGTCAAATCCCGAGGATCTCAGCTTCCTTCTAGATTTTGCAGGCGTCTTTCTGACCTTGACAGGACTGTCGCCAGTCTTCTCCTTCACCTTGATGTCTCTCCTTCGCAGGTGTTTTTTGGAATTGAGCAAGATTCTGTTGCTTCGTTGTTGAGCCGCACTCCTCAAGTGTCTTCGTTCGCCGTTGCCGCTAAGTCTTGAACTGCGTCTTCTGGCCCTCAGACCTTTCCTCGTGGGCACTGAACTCTTCTTCGGGGACGATTCTTCCTCAGATTTATCCTCTTCAGACTTGACACCTCTCTTTGGTCCAACTGACGTTGCCGCCTTATTTTTTAGTTTGGTGGCCAATTTCTTAAGCACCTCCTGGCTTACTTTTTCGTTTTTCTTTTTTGGTCTGCCAGGCATGGAGCAGGAACTGTCTGAGAGTTCAACATCCCGAATAACCTTTTTCTTAGTCGCGTCCAAGTCTGATTTCTTTCCTCTCAGGCTAGAGTCACTACTGGGTGAGTCTGTGATGCCCCGACGCTTTTTAGTGGGAGTTGGAGGATCAGAGTTTGGTCTCGAATGCACTCGAATGAGATTGGAAGGCATACGAAGCGACTGCTTAAATTTGACAAGCTCAGTTTCCCAACCAGGATAAAAGCCATTGTCAATGGAATTTTCATTGATGTTCTTGTCAGGCTTCTCCACAATTGATTTCACACATTTCTTGCTGGACTTATTTTCTTTCTCTTTGACTTCTTTAGTGGGCTTTTCTTTTGCAGTCTTAGTTGCAGGTTTTGTGCTTTCAGCATCTTTTTTAGACAATGGCTTCATTACTTTGGAACTTCTAGTTTTCCTAACTTCTGGAGACGGACTTCTAGAAGAACTTTTACAGCGCTGTTTCGCACTTCTTCGTGTTTGCCTCTTTGGCTTTGGACTCGGAGAAGAAGAATCATCGTCAGTCGCAACATCATCATCATCTTCTTCCTCTTCTTCTTCGCTGCTACTAATGCCCCGCCGAGTCTTTCTTTTCCCGCCCCTAGCTTTCCTGCCTCCTTTACTTTTTCTGGTGTTGTAGGTCCTGCTTCCATTTCGGGTTGTTCGGAGCCTTCCTGACACAGATTTTCCTACATCGTCTGACCAGTCTGACTCTTCCGTTGAGCTTTCTGAACTCTCAGCGCTAGACGAGGATCGAACAGCTCCTCTATGCAACTTCCTTTCAGCCAAGGTTAATTCTTCCTCGTAATCAGACTCTGACGAGCTTGATGGTGTTGCAATTTTCTTCTTTATCCTTGCTGGTAAAGCATCACCACTAGAATCTGATAGAACACTATTTTCTTCTTCGTCCTCCAACCGACTAAGAACAACCGCAGGCTTCAGCTCAGACTTGATTGCCGGAATTCCCACAACAAGAAGTTTATCACTTTCACTAGTTGCATTGATGCAAGACTCAACAAGTTCTTCCTTTGATTGTGATTCCAGCTTAATTATTTTTGCTTTCAACTTTTCCTCTTGCTGCTGCTTCCTTTTGCGCGCTGCTTGGAAGCTGTGCTGGGCAGCTCTGTTGCACTTGCTGACTTTGGTCTCTAAACTTGTGACTAAACTGCTGCAGACATTCGCCCAGTCAGGATCAACATCTTCAGGTTTTGCAATAGGTGATAATGGGGGTGGCTCCGAAAACGGCTGTGGAAATAGCAAATATTATAACAGCTTCATAAACTATTATGCTAATTTCACTTACAGGTGTGTCGGTGGGCGCTTTCCTATTCCTTCTCATGTCACCAACTGAGGTTGGACCGCTAATTTCTGGATCACTGTCTGGGAAGTCAAACACAGAAGTTTCGGTCGAGCTTCTTGTGTCCGAGACTTTCCTCAATGAGACAGGCGCAGCAGCTTTGTCTCTTTTGCAAGTGCAGGGCACACCCTCCGGACAGTTTCGGCACTTCTGGCAAACACAGCCATGGTGAGAACATCGGCCACAATAGGAAGTGGGACTCAGCAATTGGGTCTGCTGGAAGTCGCCACTGTGCTGCAGGTACAAAAAAACAAAACAAAATAGCATTCAACTACAACTGAAACCACATTTCTACCAAGAATACTAGAGTTTAAACTAGAAATATTGACAACATTACAAAATATAATTGAATCAACTATTCATTCAAAGAAAAGTATTTATATGATATGATATATTAACCATAATTACCTGCTTCAACTCAGCCTTTGTTCGAATGCGGGCAGCAACCAAAGCAGCTAAGCCGTCCAAATCAGACCCAGATTGGGGCAGGTTTGGAGTTTCTGGTTTTTTGTTTGTATGAGGAACATCACCTTGTTGCTTGATTACAGTCTGTTTTGATGGGAGTTGGGGAGGAAGAGCTACAATCGGCCCTTGCATTCGGATTGCCGGGTGCTGTTGCTGGTTTGCTGCTGCCTCCTACAAAATATTATTGTTAAATTTTCTTCTTCAAACGTAATTGAATGAGAAAATATCTATATTTGTTTAAATTTTTGACATAATGATTTTGAAATCTGCAACTGCTGTCGACTTACAGCAAGCAATCTCTGTTGGTTGGCATTCTTAGTTTCAAGACTATTGCGCAAAATGCTGAGTACCCGTTTGTCAGCTGCCAAGTGGTTGTGCTTTGGTATTGAAAGGGGTTGTTGAGGGGACTGGCTAGCTTTTTGCTGGTATAGCTGGTAATTCATTTGCTGGTGGTTGTACATCATTTGTTGGGCCTGGAGGTGGTTGTTGCTGGGAGGGTGGTGGTTGTACTGGGCCAAAGTCTCCTTTAAATAAATACAAATAATTAACCAAACAAATCAAAGCACCAAAAATAAAACAATACCATTTGTTTGGCAGGCAAAAAGTGGTGGAAGTTGGGCAAATTTTGTTGCTGGGGCAGTTGTGCCTGGGTGGGTTGCTGCTGATACTGATAATGAGGGATGTGGTTTTGCTGTGGAGGCGGTTGCTGATGACTTGGTGTTTGTGGGGACTGACTTGTGTGGCGTGGAGATTGTGAAGGAGGCACTGTTTGCTTGGCCTGTTGAGGGCCGAATTTATGTTCTAAACTGAGGAGGGAAGACACAGCCATTGCCTCTCTGGCCTTCTCGGATTCACTTGAATAACTAAAATGAATATTATATTTTGTTTAAAAAAGAAAGAAAAAAAAGTGATAAAAAACAGACTAAACGAATACTTACTTTGGCATACGAAACTGTGGTCGAAAAGTAGGCAGCACGTCTTGCGAACGCAGCAGGGAAGGCAAACTCAAATCAATTCTGGCCTGCTCACTAGGTGGTGGTGGTTGATTGAGACGCGGTGGTTGAGTGGTGTCCGCTCGGCCCATTTCTGGAGCAGCAGAGCCTCCGAGCAAACGAACAACTGCTTCGTCGTCGTGAGTTGAATCTGCACTCCGCCTAATCGTCCTCACCGAGAGATCAAGTGGCGAGTCACGTTTGGGACGCTGCTTCTGCGCAGGCGGGGGTGGAGCTTTAGGTGGCTGCGACACAAATAGTATGTAACACATGATAATTATCGATCTAATAAAATAAAAATAATGAATCTTATAAATTGAAATATATATTGCAAATAAAATTAATAATGTTTTGTTGGACTTTTTATCCCCTTATAATGATCAAAAATTAAAATTTACTAGCTTTGTAATCTTTAAATATAAACTACAAAGTAATTAATAATATTATCTAATAAATGAGATTTATTATCTCCGTTGATTTGAGGAGTTTGGATGAAAGAGAAAATTTACCTGTAGGGGCTGATGCTGATGAGGAGATTGGCTATTACTTTTCTGTTCGTTCACATGGTTGACTACGCTAGACCTGACCAGCTGCTGCTGTTGTTGCTGTTGATGACGATGGTGTTGTTGCTGCTGTTGTTGTCTGTGCTGTTGGCCAAATGAGCTCATCCACGAGTTCGGGGTAGTCATCGTCGGGTACATGGGGGTGGTGGGTGCTGAGCTCACGTTCACAGGGGGCGCTGCAGCCACTGCCGAGGCAGAAGTGGAGGGATACGAGCCGGGGTAGAAATGCTGCTTGCTCGGGGGGTAGCCTTGGTATTGCTGGGCAAAAGAGTTCCTGTCCATAGGGTTTATCTGGGGATACCTGCTAAACAGAGAAGTTTCGCTTTGTTAGAAATAATAATAAATAAAAAAAAAATGCCTTCTCTGATTTTTGTTGCTTCTTTTCAAATCACTGCGCACATATGGCTTGCTCTTTTCAAGCGAGAGCGCATCATGTTTATTTTATTACTCTCGGGAGTGGAATTTAAAAGCGTTCACTAACAAAGCTACCGCTCGAATTCCTGGAATGCTCGCGCGGAAATCGATCTCTCCATTGGCCAGTCGGAGAAAACGATTCTGAATATATGTGTTTGACTTGGTGTTGAGATTGCTTGGTAACTTCTTTTGCGACATCAGCAAATTTATAAACAACAATTCTACAAATAAACTTTTCCGTGCGTAATAATTTTAATAAATAACTTAAAGATCTAAATTTTCTTTGTAATTTAAATATTTTTTTTTTTTTACAAATTTGTAGCCAATTCTGGGTTTTTAATAATTTGATTACACTGAATGAAACTTATCATCAATACACAAAGATAATTATTTTTTAACTATTTTTATTACCTTGCCATGTGGTGATTTGCCATGGTCGCCGCGGCAGCCGTATTGGACGTTGACGGCGTCGTCGGCAGCGTTGACACGGAAGAACTATTGACTGCCGTCTTGGCGACGGCGACGGGCTGCGCTTTGGACGTCTCGAATACCTGCGGCAGTCCTCGCGAGTTGAACTGCGGGTAGAACTGCTGGTTCAGCGGCTTGTAATTGTAGGCGGGTGAAGGCGACGAGGACGGGGCCAGCGAGGTCAGCCCTTTGGTCAGCGGCGGCTGCTGCTGTTGCTGCTGCTGGTAGAATGAGGCAGGCACTGCGGGCGACTTGCTTTGCTGGGGCGGCGCCGCGTACGGCGACGCTTTGCCGGCGCTCGGTGGCGTGTACGGGGGCGTGCGACTCGCGCCCGCCGGGTACGACCCCAGTTTGGCCCCCGTTGAAGGGTACGAGGCTGCGTTTGGAAGCCATCGAAGGTCAGTCTTGGCTTGCGGAGGAATGAAGACTTGTTGCGGCGGCGTTGACTGCGGCGCTGGCGGCGCCGACAACGGAGCCTGCGGAACCGGCCCGCCCCCGGGGTCGCCTTGCTGGGCCGAAGGGAGCCCCTGGAAGTACTGCCGCGTGCTGTCCAGGATGTTGGAGTAGTTCATGCTGCAACAAAATAGAGAAAATATTATTAAAACATTTTTTACCGAAATTAAAATCTTGTTTTTTTTTTTTTACAAAATATTTTTATTGTTCCTTCTTAACGAAAATTTTTGTTATTTAAACATTTTAATCGTCAGATAATACATTTTTTTTCAATAAGAGTGACCGACGGTGGGGCTTTCAATTATTTCATCCATTTTACGAGCATTATCAAAATAAAAATTTGTTTGAACAAAATATTTTAATATCATGGTATTTTTTTATAAGATCAGCTTTTCAATAAATCAATTAATCACAACATTCGCAAGGAAATAAAATAAAGATTAAATTAACAAAACTGCACTGAAGTTGCAAAACCGCACAACAGGTTTACCACGAAATCGCAAACCAGTTGGTGAAAGAGATAAAATTTTAATTATGCATCGCCGTTTCCCACTTTTCACGTACTGCAAGTCAAGGTCGGTTTAGGTGCACATTATGCACGGCGTACTCTCTCTGTGCTTCCATTAAGAATGATAAAGCTTGGGAGCTTTAAAAGGCACGTGCATTCAGTAAATTTTCGTATACGTTTGCCTGGTCATTACTAAACCAGCACTCTGCGTTGACATCTCAATTCTGGGCGCGAGCAAAAAATCGTGCAAACGTAAAAAAGGGGTGCGTTTTGTATTTTTTTCAGGTGCGCGCTCACGCGGCGAGAGAGATAAATTGTAGCCCAAGATTTAAACGCGTCGCGAGTCACAGCAGTGCTGACCTCCATTCCGCCTTTTATTTGTTTTAACCTTTGCTTGCCACATGACACCAAGAAAACCAAGGCCGCTCCATGTATAAAATAATGCTTTGTCAAAGCAGCGGCTCGGTTGCCTGGCCGGCTCTCCAGCAGCGCAACTCTCTCAAAATCCCACGTGACGAAGATTCGTTTCAGATAAAAAGTCGGAAAAAATATGTTGTGCTCCGCGCACGAAACGTTAATCATGCGGCTGCGTTTGTTTCCAAAGTTGTCGAGAGGGATCATTTTCAAAGTGGAGCGTACGTCAACAGCAAAATGTTAAATTTGCTGCACACAATGCTCTTTTGAGAGCGTGCCCTGGTTTAAAAACGTATTCGGTTGTTTCAGTTTTCACTGCGCTAATGGTCTTACTAATGGTTTGCTGACAAAGCAGGAATTAACTGATTAGTTTTACAATTACGACTCTTGTTTGTAATTAGGTAAAATAAAAATAAATCTGTTTGCAACTGGACTGCCAAGTTTTTGCTGGAACACGATTCCAGAGGATAATATTTTTTATTAATTTCAATTAATTTTCAGTTCTTTTTTTTTAATGGGATAAAACTCTTGATGATAAAAAAAAATATAATTATATAATTCCTACTAAATTCTTACTAAACAGAATGCTAAAATTTATAATTCCCCCTTATATTTCTCAATCAGTTAAAAAGTAATCATTTGAATTCTTCTTCTGTGGATAAAAAAAAACCATATCATAAATAAAAATGAAATAATTTAACTCTCAATGAAAAGTGGCAAAATTCGTGATATATGATAAGGAAAAAATTTTGTCAACCGAGGCTCACTGCGACGGATGGGATTTTCATCTCGGAAGTTCTATAGCAAAATTCTTGCTAGTGCTGGTGCCGTTTTGTTTGTTCAACAATAATTCATTTTTTAAATAAATTGTTTTCAACTATTGAATGCAAACGATGTATTTGTAACAATGTGGAAAAATAAACAACAATAAAAAAATACAAATTTTACAGACAATTTTTTTTATTGAAATGAAATCATTTTTTAAAGAGTAATTCAGTAAATACTAATCAACGACTGATTTACAGATCAATATTCACAGAAAGATGATTGCCTCCTTTTCCTGATTTTTCTTTTACCAATAAAATATTATTAAATCTCTTGCTTTTTATAAGTTTAAATATATAATTATATTTTTTTAAATTGAAGTATAAAACCAAAATAAACGTATAAAAAATCTTTAGAGAATAGAAGTTTGCTGGCAACAGCCAAAATAAATTAATCCTTCTATGCATTTTTCATAAATTAATTAACTTAAGTTTAGCGAGAGTTATGTAAATATCTTATATTCATTCGTAGCTCTAAATTATGTAAGTTTATAAAGTCCACTTTATTCATTGCTGTTATGAAGATGAGCATTATTTGCAAATAAATCAAATTTATCTCCATTTCAAACATTCACGTAACGATCGTGAAGTGCTGCTTTAATTGGACCAAACGTTCCCTTTAGCCGGCTAATTATATCGCCTTTTTATTGTGCAAGTATATCAATATGAAAATTCCACTGCGCGGATTCTCTGTCCGCGGCACGTTGTGGCGAAATTCATTATTATTTAGTCTCGCAACGAGCGATAATTCGCTGACGGCGCGATAAAAATAAAGTATCTGGCAATGAAACGGCTGACCGAGGCGCGCGCACGAGAAGTATAAAAGGAGGTGAAAGTCGAATGCAGCGAAATAATGACGCGGCTGCAAAAGCCACGTACACACGCTGTTTGCATTCGACGGAGAGAAAGAAAGACACACGAAATCGAAAACTCTTCCTTCCTCTCTGAGAAATTTCGTCGTCGAGGAAATTAATCGACTTTATCGGAGCAGGCAAAAAAGAAGCTTCTCGGAAATCTCTTTTCAGCCGGAATTTAACGCCCGAGACGCGTGAGATGAACGAACACTGTACACAAACAGTGTTATTGGAAAGAAAGGTGCACCGTGTTGCTTTTGATGGTTGCCCCTAGCGACCGCCTGGGATCAGTCTGGGGGTATTTTTTATACACATGAGCCGGGGGGTGGTGGGCGGACCGGCGGGCGAGGGGGTGAAAACTGAAAACAGATCCCTCGCCGCTCTTTGTGCTTGCTGGCTCTGTGCACAGTGAAGACGCGAGTGAGCAACCGGCCCGAAGCGCAAACCACACACACACAGACTCCTTCCCGTACCCAAGCCACTTTTAATTTACGGCCCACCAGAGGAAATTGGCCCAAATTGGCCAAAGCTACGTCCGCGAAACGACGAGCGGAAATTTTCATCTCATTTTACGGTTAGACGACGAAAACATAACATGTTGCGTTTTATATTGGAAGGAAAATGAGACATTTAAAAAAACATTTGCGCATGAATTATGTTAATATACTTCTGAAAATTGTAACGTTGATTCTATAGTCAATAAAAAAAGTTTTTTTTTTCATAAATTTTGATAATATTCTGATATAAAATGAAAAAACTAAATTTTATAAGAACAGCTCCTGAACGTTTTTGTTATTTTGACAATTTAATTTTTTTTTTTTTTGTAAAAGATATTTGTTAATAATAATTAAATGACATTTTGAATTAATCACCTTCCATTTAAATTAAGAAAAAAATTCATATCTCATTGTATTGATAATACCGGAGATTGGAGATCATTAACCAACCAATTGATATCCCTAAAGGTTTCCGGCGTTTATTGTTCGAATATAGAGAGAGATAATTGCGTTTCAAACATCGCAGTCGGCAGTTAGCAGGAATGCTCGGTACAAAATCAATGAGACGAGGAAACTCCGGCGGACTGGGCAGCAGGTTCAAAATGTATAAATCATATAGATAGGAACGATGATAACGTTTCTGCGAAATGTTTGAACCAATTTATTCCGCGAATTATCAGCTAATTAAAATTGTTGATGCGGAGCTTTCAAAAATAGGAGTCGTACTATTATCTTCATCCATCTTCATTAATTTTTGAATGTACATTTCAGTGGATAATGAGCATGATGTGTCTCTCGCGATGTTTGTGCTCTCTTTTGCGCGCTCGTGAATTATGTGCGAAAGGGAAAACCAGCATGACGTCTCGCGCGCACCAGAGAGCGTTTTTGTTCCGCCCCACTTTTTATATAACATCTATTACGGTCTTTTTCATGTATTGATGAGAGCAAAGAGAGAGAGGAAAAAGCAAACAAAAGCAGGAGTGCCCTTTGAAGATGTTGTTTGGCAACAAATTATGCCAATTAATTATTCCACCAGCTGATACGATCGAGTTGATGATGTATGCAAAAGAACGCAAATGAAAGTTTGTTCAGCAGTAAAAAGAGAATCAACGTTTTTTTTTGCATGAATTTAGCTCTCGGTTGGTTTTGTTTTAACAGTGAGCATTGAAACTATAGCAAGAGACTTTCTACTTCTTAGTTAAATAATTCAAATAAAAAATAAAACATAATATCAGAGTCAATTTTCAAACCGAAAAAGGAAACTTTTCTTCTGCTTTTATCACTCATAAAAAAACCTATTGTGTAAAAATGAATGTGTAAAAATGAAATAACTTTATGGTGTAATATTTTATCTTTTGTAATAATTTTTCCGAATTTTTAATATTAATAATTCATTTAACGTTCAATTAAACACCCTTCTTTTTTTAACAATATAAAAAAAATCAAAATTTATAAATTAATTGCGTTTACGTCTACACTTTTTACTTCAAATTTTTTAAATTAATGTTGATTTTACAATCATATATTCATAATGGGTTTCTATTTTCTTTCATTAGGATTTAGAAACGTAAATTCGCCTGAAATTTTGAATGCCAAACACAATCTTCTCTGACATTAAAAAGTCAACGGAAGCGATTTTTTTTAAATTGGGATCGAGTAAATTTTCACACAAGCATCAATGATAAATTAAAACGCTCATGGAAATTCAACAGCTAAATTGCCTGCGGGTAATTTTTTTAAAACATTCAATAGCACAGCGGTGTGGCTTTGAAACGCCAAATACACGATGAATCACGATTGAATTTGCGATAAATTTGTCGGCGCGACGAGGTGAAAAATCGATGTGCGCTGCGACCAGCTGGGCGAGACGAGCGCTTGAAAATAAAACGCGATCTTCCTCTCGCTATAATATCATCTCGTGCGCTTGAGAAGAAAGAAAGCGATCTAGGCTCGAGCGAGCGAACGCACATATTGCACGCGCGCGTCACACAATTATAGCCGCCGCTAACTAAGTTCAAAGTCG